TGCTATCATTGCCGCCATAGACGTTGCCAACGCAAAGGGCTTCTCAAATATGGGGGCGGCCAGCCGCCAGTGCCTGCCGCGTTACTGGTGACGGTGACTGACTACAGTACATATGTACATACATACATAGTGACGCTGGTGCCGGTGGGGATACTTACATATGTACATCCATATGTATGTGCGTGATGCGCGAGTGGGGAGCGGCAAAAACGCTTGATGATTATGAAGATAATTGTGGAGCAGACTGGCGTTGAGTGAACGCATTTTGTAATTTCAGTACGATAAGTGACACGATCAGCTGCAGTAGTGGATAAGAAGCAACAAGTAAAGCACTTGTTTGGCCGGCGGCACAGCGATTTGACAACGTGATAAATACATATATGTAGATAATATAAGCATACAAGAGAACGTACATATTTACATACATACATATGTATTTATATACATACATGTGTATTTATTCACTTATAGTATGTTGTTGTTGGAGAATTATAATTTTAATTTATGTACGTAAATTCGACTCGACTAATTAAAGTGATTAACTAAAATAAGTGCACGCGCGCGGAGAAAGTGATTAAGCACTTTTTTCCTCCTTAATTTCAACTTTTGAGAAGTCTATACTTTAATGGATTCCTACCGAAATATAGTAGCTTTAACAAAGAAAGAATAGTGAAAAGCGATATCTCGCAATGCTAATCTCCCGTGGATATTATCTACCGATAAGAGCATCCATCTTTCATCAGCTAAGTTAAATGTGAATGTATATGTGTGCGTGTGCACGGAAATTTGCGCTGTTGGACAATGTTTACGATTTGAGCTGCTGCCGTTGCCGCTGATGCTGCTGCTGTGCTTACACTCACACACCCACCCACGAAGTCAACGTTAAGTAGCACCTCCTGGACAGACAAGTCACTCGGGCATACATATGCACTATATGAATACAAGCTAATATTGCACAACAATAATAATAACAACAATAACAACAACAACAATACGAATTGCAGATAACTCACAAAGCGCATAAAAAGTATAAGAACAAGCAAAAGAAAAGAAGAAAAAAGTAAATACATATAAAATAAATTCCATTGTCCCGCATCGCGTCACAGCTACAAAATTACAAGTTAATTTCCGCAACGCAGAACTTTAATACATATGCACATACGTGCATAAATACATTTGTTAATCCTGTTTATTTTTATTTTATTTTTTTGTTGTGGTGGGTGCAAGTCCACGCGCTCAATTGAATGTATCCCACATTGTGGTAGCAATGAGTATAACGGCGCGCGGCAAGTGGACGTCAGCGACTGCTGTGGCGACAGCGGGCGTACAGCGCAGGCGTGTGATCAACAAACACATTCAACAGAAGTATCTGTTATGTGGGTTTGCTATACATGTACATATAAACATATTTAATTTAAAGTCAATTTGTAATTATTAAGTACCTACTTACAATTATTTAAATAAAATAATTAACTATAAAGTTGAAATATCAAAATAACAAACTGACGCACACATGCACACTTACTTACTTATATACACTGCCTGCTAGAAGTAAGCATCCCATCATCAACATTAACAGTAAATTTACAGTATATAAACATTTTTACTCCCCTTTCTCATTTATACTTTAATGCTCTCCTCTCTAATGGTTTTCTCATTTTTGTATTCACTTTCAGGCCTTCCTCGCCACTCCAGCCTACCTCTACGGCAATGTCGTCGAATCGGATAAGGACTTGGTTTTGCGCATTTGGCCCGCCATTGTTTATCAGGCTACTGGCCAGGTTTGCCGCTCCATTTTAGAGCATTTGGACACCGAATATCGGGGACGTGAACGTGAGACCACCGAATATCGTCGCTTCTTTCTTTGCGCTACGCTGATCACATGCTTGTCGCTTATGATTAGCGGCATATTCTTCTCATCGGCTTGGGTCATTATTTCTACAACAACACAAGCAGTGGCTATAGTATTCTATGGATTCTTTGCGGGTAAGAGTTTAAGAACATCGTCACGCGTGCGTTAATACTATTTGAAGACTTTCAGGACAGTTTACGATAGGTTTAAATAGCTGGGAAATGAATTCCTTTCACATGTAGGTCAATAGAGACTTGTTTTAATATCGTACGGTCTTTCTCATTAGTCTACAAATCACTTGGTTAGTGCTGTAAACTTTACCAAAGCGTAGTCTTCTTCTACTTAAAGCCGGGCAATGGTATAAAAGGTGTTTAACTCTTTTCAAATTCTTCAAATTTTTCGGTGCGTCCATCTCTAATTTCCTGACGTGTATTCCAATTTGGCGGTGGTCTGTTAAAAGGACATTTATTTCCTGTTTAAACATAAAACCACCGAAGAGCTTTTACAGGAAGCTTCACATAACAAAAAAATTGTTCCTTCGTGCATTGGATTCTTAGAGTAGTGCGAACTCTTGCATACCATTACATACAAGTGGTACACCTACCCAGTCCTCTCCTGGAAGGATGTGTATGGTTTTCTTTTTGGTTGTTGTTGAGAACGCAAAATGACACTGAAGATGGAACAACGCCGAAACCGGTTTGTCTCCAAACGAAATTTGGCACGGGATGATGGAAACTCGTTCCAAAATATATTATGCGATGTGTGCGGTCGTTCATGTCTCTGCCTATTCGTCAGCTTTGCAATTATCTTCAACATCTCAGTGCGCAGACACTCGAAAACATTGAGTTCTTATATGTTGGTCCATCTATAGATTTATTGCTTTCAGTAAGCTAACAAGTTCACAACTTCTCTTACAGCTGAGCAGCCATCAATGCTTTGGTCTTACTCATAGTCCTTTGTCGATCTGTTTTCTCTGTTTAGTTCTTTGAGTTTCCTGAACGGCCAACACTTCTGTTTAATATACAGTGCGGTGGTTGGAGAGACAAATGGGTGGCTCCAACCTCAATTCAGATGGGAAAACTCATCCTCCAACTTTGACTGTATAAAGCTACATCAGACCGACATATATTGTTGGTTGTTGTTGTTGTAGCGGCACAACTAGGCGCCGCCTAGGTGGATTTGTCCATCAATCGGTGTCAGCGACGGTAGGCCCAGTAAACGTATAGTTTCGACGGGCTGGACCAAAGGGAATAGTTGTGGTTTTAAGTGGGAGTGTGAAGAGGTGGTTGGTGTCTTGGGGGTATCTCCACATACTAGACTCTCATTGGGTACGTGGGGGTCGAAGCTGGTTAAATGGCTGTTGAGACGGCTACGGTGTCCAGACCGTAGTCGGTCTACAATAACGCGGGTCCCACTAGGCAGCTGAATCTCGTCTTCTGCAATAGGTGAAAATTGAAAATTGGGCTACATTCACGGCTTTGATAGGTCGAAAGTGGCAGAAGGTGTAGACAGCCTCTCTATGAATTCCATAGATAGCTTGTCTATACATCGTCGGGTCAAGTGGTTCTTCTGTATAGGTCTGTGGCATTTTGACAAGCCTGAAGCTTCGTTCACTGCGTCGAGGAAGTCTCCGGCGACCAAACAGGCGCCAACAATGTATCTTTGTATTCGCCCCATGTGCTACCGGCAAGCGACGTGAGAACCTTATTACGGATCCGTACCTTTAAAATTGTTTTGTCATTGGTTTGTCAGCAACGTGAACACCTAGTTGAAGCCTGACTTGCTTCGTTCAGGTGGTGAAAAGGACCGCCGTTGGCTTCGTTGGGGAGATTGCGTGCGGTGAAGAAACGACTAAGTTCGAAAGGAAACGAATTTACTTTCAAGCAGAGGTCAACAATTCCATTTCTGGACGCCAATATCAAACAGTCGTCAGCGTAAAAGTGCGGGAAACTCCCTAAGGTGGTGTTGGTATTACAACTTTGTATATCTTATCGAACTAGCTGGAAATTACACAATTGTCGTTACTCATAGGTATTGGATTGCCCTCGAATGCCTGACATTCCCATAATCCATGCGCCAGCTTCTTTAAGTCTTAATGGTGTTGAGTGGTCATCTCCCAAGAAATTAGTTAAAAGGGATATAAGTTCAAGATCGAATTTAGTGAGTATGTGGGCTTCTTTGTATTCCTTGCGAGTTTATACGCGTGGTTGATTTCATGAGTTTAGGACACCATACTAAGACTTAATACTGTCCGTATTGCGGTATAAACATATGCATATATATAGAATACTATCTTCGGAAACGTAATTCCAAAGATAAATTTAACCTTTAATTCTCTTCTTACAGGAATTGGTTCTAGTCTCTTCATTTGGAAGACCCACGTTATTCTGGAGGCGGTACGTCCGCGCGAGGATAAGTTTGTGCGCAAAACGATACATCTTTGCGGTGAAGCGTTCTGTCAACTCTTCCTCTCGTTCGTCTTCACCAGCTTACGTACACTCTACGGCACAGCACAGTCCATAGTTCTCATGTCCGCTCTATTAGTGAACCTTATACCCATTAGTTTGATCATTACGCGTCATCGCGAAGGTTC